TATGAGTGACCCTAAACTCTCAACCCCTAAACCTTTATCCCCTAAACCCCTAAACCCCTAAACCCCTAAACCCCTAAACCCCTAAACCCCTAAACCCCTAAACCCCTAAACCCTAAACCCGTAAACCTTTCAATCCTAAACTCGCCTGCGAGATGGCACCAGATCCTGTTTGAATTCTTTAGCTCTTAGCGTGAAGATAAGATGTGGACCTTGATGGTCGGATGTACCACTAACCGCAAGGGTCCAAAGGACCTAATCATCAGGTACTTAGGTTGCGGATAGTAGTGCTGTAGGTTACTGTTTGGGAGAGTCTATGATTATTCGGTACTTGGACCCTTAGGGAAGCCCTAAACCCTAAACCCTAAATCTTAAGTCCAAATCCTAAATCCCTGAACCGCAAACCCTAAACCCTAAACCCCACACCCTAAACCCTAGACCCCAAACCCAAGAAGCAGCCAGTGATCCGACTGCACGGCATTCTGGCTCAATGCCGAGCTTTCCTCCCCTGAGGCCTTTCGATTCGCTCGTGAGTTTCCATCTCTTTTTTTGTGACTTAGTTCCCCAATACCCAACCTTTCTAAACTTTTTTGGGTTTCGATGATTTAGTAGTAATCCGAAAGGACCTTTTATTCTTGGCGTTATTTTGCTTGGCTCTCAGGACTTTAATTTTTTGGGTTTCTATATGAACCATAATAAAGGATCTAAAAGTTTAACTTTTAGGAGGGGTTCAGAAGTCAGCCAAGTATTTCCCTGGCTAATTGACGAAGTAAGGTGACAGTCAGCATGGCTTCGAGCTCTGCAGTCTCCTGTTACGGACGTCTTTGTTGAAGTTTAGGGTTTAGGGTTTAGGGTTTAGGGTTTAGGGTTTAGGGTTTAGGGTTTAGGGTTTAGGGTTAATGGTTTTTGGACCTTGGAACCCTACTATTTGGATACTTGGACCCTTAGGGGAACTCAGGTTTCCGCTCTGTGCGTGTTGCTGCTGGTCTCAACAGCCAGCGCCCAGCTTAACTGGGGGCGCGCACAGGACTCCTTCCTGTCGGGTCGACGCAGCTGCGACTAGGCCAAGAGAAGAAGCAACGGTTGAGGGTTTAGGGCTCATGTTGTGCGGTGTAGAACTCCCTAAACCCTAAACAGGGTTTAGGGTTTAGGGTTTAGGGTTTAGGGTTTAGGGTTTAGGGATAACAATGGTAAAGGTGGAATTGAGAGTGGAGTAGAGCAGAGTGGTGGAGAGTCGAGTAGGAGTGGCAACAAGAATTGGTTATGGGCCACCAAGCTACACTAAACCCTAAACCCCATAAGCCCTAAACCTTAAAACCCTAAAGCCTCCACCCTAAGCCATGCTCAGGTGAGAACCAGGGCCACTTGAAGATCGAGAATGCTGCGACATATTGCTGCAAAATCAGTGCGGTTGCCTATCACTGTCTCTTGATCTCTAAATGAATCACGTTTCACTTTAAGACTTTGGGGAATAATAAAACCCCTTGTAGAACTCCTTCGTGGGGCCTATGAACTCAGCAACTAAGGTCTTGCTGTGCTAGGGCTCGAGAACCAGAAATCGGCGATTGTGGAGCAGTCGGGAAGCGGCTTTGAATTCAAGACGGGTGACACGGTCTCCCTTTGGGCATGTTCTTCCTTTTGGTGGTTTAGGGTCTAGGGTTTAGGGTTCTTCCTTTTGGTGGTCTTAGGTTGCTAAACAAAATTCAGAAACCCCCAAAACCCCTAAACCCCAAACCCTAAACCCCTGAACCCTAAACCCCTAGGTTGCTTTTCAAACTACTCAATACTAAGTTGAGATCTCCTTTGTTTCCTTGGTCTCTGGGTCCTAGGTGATCACAAGGGTGAAAATCGGGCAGAGATTGAGTGTCACTTTGTCAACAACAGAGCCACGATGGACGACCTGACGGAAAAGTCTTGGCTCTTCAGGACGGCCAACGAGAGCTACACACCGGAGCTTCAGCAACCGACGAAGGTGGCTGAAACATACATCGGCGGCTACAACAGTGCCGGAGTCCTGGCAAAGGGCTGGAAGGCGGATCCCTAAACCCTGCAGCCTTATAACCTCCGCACGCCGAAGCATAAACCCCAAACCCCTAAACTCCTATCAATCCGGAACTTTAAGCACCCGGCTAATATAGGGGCCTAAATAATTACAAACACTATTTTGGGTGGGTTCCTGAATATAATTATAGTATAATGGGCCCCAAAACCCTTTTCTAATTATTAAGGCCGAAAATACTCTCTAAAGATTTCAGACACCATGCCAGGAGGATCCCAACTACCAGATGACTTTGGCAGGATTGAAGGAGTGGAGTCAGGCCTTCCTAAAGGAGTTCCCTGCCTACCGAGCCACCTCATGGAATTGCCAGAAATACTCCGTGGGAGTCCCTTATTTCGAAAGAAGACCAATCTTTTGTCGACTTTCCCTAAAACTCCAAGTGTTCAATTTTTTCTTCGGGGTCTAAAGTCTGTGAATGAAACCTACTCTGAGGGATTTGGAGTCTTAGGGTTTGTCCGGATCTTTATTTTGCCGTCTTTCCTATGATCTTTAGTTCAGTGACATCTTGCCCTAAACCCTATAAACCCTAAACCCTAAACCCTAAACCCTAAACCCTAAACCCTAAACCCTAACATCTTGGGAAACCCAGGTCTACAATGCGGTCACACATTCCGACAAGTGGGAGAAGCAGGCCGTCCTCTCTGGCCTCGGCAGGCCCTTCGAGAACGGGTTTAGGGTTTAGGGTTTAGGGTTTAGGGTTTAGGGTTTAGGGTTTAGGGTTTGGCCGTCCTCTCTGGCCTCGGCAGGCCCTTCGAGAACTTGTTTAGGGTTTAGGGTTTAGGGTTTAGGGTTTAGGGTTTAGGGTTTAGGGTTTGGCCGTCCTCTCTGGCCTCGGCAGGCCCTTCGAGAACTTGTTCAAAGGCAGTACACGATCAAGTGCCAGCAGTAACATCAACGAAGTCGTCGGTGATGTCGGCAAGAAGAAATAAGATAGGGGCCTTAGTATCTAGAACAGGGTTTTGGGGCCCATTATACTTTAGTTATAATAAGGAGCCCCCCAAAGTAGATCATCGCGCTGTGAGCCACCGACAAACATGAGCCGCGAAGCCACGCCCAGCTGTGCACTGAAAAAGCTCTGTTTAGGGTTTAGAGTTTAGGGTTTTAAACCCTAAACCCTAAACCCTAAACCGCTTTCATAGGTTGCTTCGGCATTTAGGGTTTAGGGTTTAGGGAGAACCAAGTTAAGCGCTGAACTCTACCCGTTGTGTGCGAGTGTCTCCTGCCGGCAGCTTGATTTTGACTTTACGGGGTTGCACCCAGCATCTAGACCCTGGAATGTAGTACCCCTTTTTGGACAGCCTGTTTTATGGTCAGGATCCTATAGTAAGAACTAATGTAACCCAAGGAAGGTACCAGAATTTAGGGGCACGTGGCACATGCAATGGACGCGCCCTTTAATACACAGGTCTCCGTATGCTTCAAACAAGATTCCCCCTGCAGTCGTTAAATATCTGTGCCGACATGTACCTTAAACCCTAAACCCTAAGCCCTAAACCCTAAACCCTAAACCCTAAACCCTTAACCCTAACCCTAAACCCTAAATCCTAAACCCTAAGCCCTAAACTGCCGCGCCATGTTCTCGTCATTTGGGCACCCAAAACCCTAAACCTCGCATTGTCGCAGCGAGGAAGTTTACATGTATGGCCGTTGTGGACTTTGGCCCCAAAAGAGCATCCGAAGAGCGGCCTACTTCCATAATACTGTTACTGCTGCTGATGATGTAAATCCTGCATTGCTGTAAGGACCCCTACTATGGTTAACTATGGGAATTGTGGTATATTTCTTCTGATGGGTATTGCAGGATTTTTTGCATCATCAACCGTGGCAGTATATTTCTAGACACAAGCCACTCGACACTAAACCCTCGCAGTTCCATACAGGCACCCTAAAGCCCTCAACCCTAAACCCTAATAACCCTAAGCCCTAAAGCCGTAAACCCTAAACCCTAAAGCCCTAAAGCCCTAAAGCCGTAAACCCTAAACCCTAAACCTTAAAACCCTAACGCCCTCAACCCTAAACCCTAAAGCCTAAAGCCTAAAGCCCAAAACCCTAAACCCTAATAACTAATAACCCTAAACCCTAAAGCCCTGAACCCTAAACCCCTTAAGGAACTGAGTGAGGTACGTTCTCCAGCCGGGGGTCCGCGAGAACCCGCAGGAAATGTGGAACGGTCTCAAGGCATGGTACTCACCTAGGAGCCTTTAGGGTTTAGGGTTTAGGGTTTAGGTTTAGGGTTTAGGGTTTAGGGTTTAGGGTCGTTATTTTGCTTGGCTCTTAGGACTTTAACTTTTCGGTTTTAGGGTTTAGGGTTTAGGGTTTAGGGGGTTTCTATATGAATCATAATAAAGGAGCTAGAGGTTTAACTTTTAGGAGGGGTTCAGAAGTCAGCCAAGTTTAAAGGAATCCTATGACTTACTATAGATGCCTATTTGGGCAAGTTAGGGTAAGATTCTGAACCCCATACCTTAAACCCCAAAGCCCCAGAACTGTAAACCCTTTGAAGGAATCCTATTACTTACTATAGATGCGTATTTGGTGCAAGATTCTGAACCCTATACCTTAAACCCCAAAGCCCCAAAACCCTAAACCCCTAAGGTAAGATTCTGAACTCTATACCTTAAACCCCAAAGCCCCCCAAAACCCTAAACCCCTAAGCCCAAAACCTTACACCCCTAAGCCCAAAACCCTAAACCCCGGAAACCCACATTCCTCAGCCCTACAGCCCACAAC